TGTGTGTGTGTGTGTGTGTGTGTGTGTGTGTGTGTGTGTAGAGGTGAACAAGATTAGAACCATGATCGATCCTAATATTTTGATCCCAGCACTCAAGAGGCAGAGGCAAATGGATCTCTATGAGTTCAAGGCCAGCCTGATCTACATAGTGAGTTTCAGGCTACGTTGTGAGAGATCTTGTCTTAAAAAACAATACCAAGATTAGACGGTGGATTATACATCAGGAATGAATGTTAAGAATAGTTCCGAGGTTTTGACTCATAGATGGTGGCTCCTTTTGCTAGACTGGGTAACAAGGGAAAGAAGACAAGTTCATAAGCAATCTCACAACTTCAGGCTTGGATGTGTCAAGTTTGAGGTCTCCAAGCAGAAATATTGAGTGCCATTGATTACTGCAAACACAAAATGCAGCTCTCACCTCAAAGGGAATAGGAGATCATTTATTCTGAGCCAATATGTGTGACCATGACCCAGGAACAAGGATGCAGATTGCCCTGAATAACACATTTCAGTGTGGAAGTGGTATATGAACTTTTATAGTCATAGCACAAAAGAAAGTCCTAGCCAGGAGTGGTGGCACAGGCCTTTAGTCTCAGCACTGCACTCGGGAGGCAGAAGCAGGCGAATCTCTGTGAGTTTGAGGCCTGCTTGGTCTACATAGTGAGTTCCAGGTTAGCTGGGGCCATGGGGGACTCTGTCTCAAAAAGACAAATAAAAGAAAAAGAAAAAAAAGAAACTCCTAAGTCAAGGCATTTTCCAAAGATGTTGATAAATCATGCAGGCAGGTTACAGCTAAGTAAGAGAAAACGTATAGGTTTTAAATGTTATCTGGGGCTGGAGAGATGGTTCAGTGGTTAAGAGCCCTGACTGCTCTTGCAGAGGACCCAGGTTCAATTCCCAGCACCCACATGGTGGCTACGAACCATCCTTAACTCCAGTTCCAGGGGAATCTGATGCCTTCTGACCTCTGAGGAATTGCACGACATGGATGCGTTCACATACATGCAGGCAATATACTCATACACATCAAATAAAATGTATTTAAATGTTATCTGATGACATTCTTAGCTTTGGGGTTGGTGGAAGCGAGGACTCTATTAAAATAATATGTTGCAAAGGTTTTACCTGATAGTTGACAGGATGTTATGTCAGACACAGAGGTGTTCAGCTATTAAGGGGACTAAAGACAGCCCAAAATAATTTGTCTGTAGATCTGAAACATTCTAACTCTCCACAATCACAAAGTTCTAATCAGTTAATCAGCCTTGTAAAATCTTTAACATACATGTGGCTTGTGGGGAGGGAACTGAGTTCACAATACCAATATCTGGAGTCAGAGTGAGAAGTCTGGCCTCTTGATGTGCAAGAGGGGGACAGATGGTAGCTGAAGCCTTGAGCATGGGTAGAATCATCTAGGAAGAACAGAGGCATGAGAAGATAATGGGGTGTGCTAGCTGGCCTCAGGGAACAACTCATAAGGCACAGGGAGAGGAGAGGAGCTTGTGAAGAGGCAGGCAAGGAGAGAAGATGGAGAGAACACCCCATGGACACCGTGTCAAGGAACAGCCAGCCACTCTACTTCTCTGTGTCTGAGTGCACATGCTAGGTCCAACGGCTCTTAATTCCAAATTCCCAAAGGAGAATCTGATTGCTTCATCTTAGATACCCACTTAGTCAACTACTGATTCAGGAGGCTGTGGCTGGCATGCCGCAGGGATTCACCTGTGAGCAGAGACACAGTTCTCACAGAAAACACAGCTTCCTCAGAACGGCTTCCCATCCCTTCCTTCACCTCTTGTTGAAATCCCAGCAGTCTGGCCCAACTCTGTTCAATCCTTGGATAGGTCGAGGTCTTTCTCAACTGGCTTAATGCTCATTCCCCACCCGACTCCAGCTCTCACCACACTCTCAGCCTGGCCTCCTCCTGTCATCCTTCAAGAAGGTTTGAGCTCAAAAGATACCACCGTGGACCCCTCTCCCATGCAAAGATGATCCTCTTTCCTGATGACTTGCTGTCATGGCATTCTGTTGTTTCCTTTGTGAGTCGTAACTGTGATTTGGCAGTTTGTAACTATTGTTTCTACGTTTATTTATTTGTGTGTGTATATGCATACATACATGTGCACTCCATGACATGCTTATGGAGGTCAGAAGACAACTTACGAGAGTCGGTTCTCTACTTCTACCACGTGGGTTCTAGGAATTGAACTCAGGTTGCCAGGCTTGACAGCAGATATCTTTACCTGCTGAGCCATCTTGCCTACCCACTACTAATTTTTTAATAGAAATCTGCCCATCAAGAACAAATAGTCTGCAAGGACAGAGCAATGCCTATCTTAATGGTTCTCAACTGGAGACAGTTCTGCCCACCAAGAAATATGTCTATGGCATTTTTGGTTGTCACAATGAATGGAGACAAGGTGCAACAAGCTGGTAGGGGCTAGAGATGCCACTGAAGACTCTGCACAGGACAGCCCCACATCCGAATTAGCCACCCAAATATCAAAAGTGCCAAGGCTGAGAGTTATTTGTCATTGTACCCTCAGCATGAAGCACAAGGCCTTATACTTTTAGATGCTTAATGAATATCTGGTGTGTTGAAGATCTGAGCTGAACTATTGTCTGTATGCCCCATTTGTGTTCTTGTGTGTGTCATTTTCCTCCTCATGAAAATACATGTTGGGTGCTTCCATATGGGCACTCAAACCAGTCATGGCCAAGATGATACATTGCTGGAAAAATCCCTGATAAACATGATTCTCTGAATTTCCAAATGATAGTAGCAGCAACAAGATTTTGCTCCTGAGATTTGAAAGGGAAATAAACTTTGAAGTGCAACCAGGAAATGGTCAGTCAACACCTCCCATGGACCTGGGGCTTTTCATAGCTAACTATCAAAACTCTCATGAGGCTTGGAGTCCTCATTTTTATCACAAATCTGTGGGAACCCTCTCAGTTCTCACACAGAACTAAAAATGTTCCTGGAATCCTTTTAGGAGCCAGGAGAAGAAAGGAGGCGCTGGCAATGTAAAGGGGACACAGGGCTGGGGCACTGATCAAATCACTTTATGTTTTGTAGCATGGAGAGAAACACTGACAGAGATTTCCAGACACAACGGAGCCAGAAGGGTATGAATGCCCTTGACCGAAATCCAGACGATGGATTGCTGGTTACACATGTTAACCAGACCCAGGATTTACTGGTAAACAACCACAGTGCTTTAAATTCACTAGTGACGCTTACGAATCATAGCTAGAACATGCTAGATTTTGTGTATTTTTCTTCACATAGGACCTAGAACTGAAAATGTTAATTAAGCATTCATCTCTAACCCATTCTGTTTGGAAATGAATGGAGAATCTCTGTATCAGTTACAGAAATCTTACAACCTAGCTGGCTATTTAAGAGCATATAGAAGCATATTAAGATCCCGATCATTTTTTTAGGATTCCCTAAAATCTAGATCCATTTCAGGAAGTGCTATGGGAACAGGAGGGTGGTGGCAGGGGTCTTAACCTCTAATCACCATACTGTGATTTCAGGCTGACTCTGTGCAGGTTAACCATTTTCCTAAGATCACTAGTGACTGAGAATTCCTCCTACCATGGAAATAACTGCCCTTCCAGGTTGTATGGGGCAAGGCCAGCTCACACCCACCTGCTAGTAAATCCATACTGGAATCCAAACATGATACCTTTAAAAGGATGCTTAATCAGAAGTGTCATACTGGCAATTAAAAAATCAGAAAAGTGGGGCTAGAGAGCTGGCTCAGCGGTTAAGAACATTAGTTGTTCTTGCAGAAGACCCAGGTTCAAATCCCAGCACTCACATGGCAGCTAACAACTATCTGTAACTCCAGTCCCAGGGGATCCGACAGCCTCTTCTGTCCTCTGTGGGTATTGCACGACATGGGTGCACTTATCTACATGCAGGCAATACATGCATACACATAAAATAAAAACAATAAATAAAATATTTTTTAAAAAAGAAGAGAGATTTAGTAGTACATATAAAAAATTAGAAAGGCATGGATTTGATCAGAACACCTTTACACATGTATGAAATTCTCAATAAATTATTAAAGAAAAAAAAACACAGGACCAGAGATAAAAAAATTCAGAAAAACAGACAACTTTTACTTTTCTCAAGTTTGAGCATTTATGAGACAACATGTCTACTCAAAACAAAAGGAGGAAGCCAGGCATGGTCACACACATACCTCTAATCCTGGCACACTGGAGGTAAAGGCAAGAGGATCAGGAGTTCAAGGTCAGCCTTAGCTACATAGTGATTCTGAGGTCAGCCTGGGATACATGAGACCCTGTCTGAAAAAGAAAAAAAAAATGGAAATGAGGAAAAGTAGATAGAGTTTTAAGGCTCAGAAGAAATAGTTCAGGGGCTGGAGAGATGGCTCAGTGGTTAAGAACACTGGCTGCTCTTGCAGAGGACCTAGGTTTGATTCCCAGCATCCATACAGCATCTAACAACCATCCATAATTCCAGTTCCAGGAGATCTGATGCCCTCCTCTGACCTCCATGGGCATTGCAGGGCATGGGTGCACTTACATACATGCAGGCAATACACTCATACACATTTTTAAAATAAAAATATTAAAACTAAAATGAAATAGTTCAGTGATGTCAGTTGCCAATGACATGGGTCTTTATGTCATCTGATTTTGTATCAGAACAAGTGACTTCCTCCACGTGCAAAGGATCTGTCTGTCCTACACTTACCAGTCACACAGACTTCTTGTTTCTCCTCTATCAAATAGAGAAGGATGAGAAAGAGTTCCAATTGCCAGCAGCGAGCTGTGTAAAGTGCCTATTTTAGTGTCAGGTCAGGAGGGCCGGCAGTCAAAAGCCGTGTGTGTAAGACGGGATCTTCAAATAACAGCAACAGGACACAGACCATTTCAAATGCTGGGAAGATGGAAGGAGAGGCTGCTGCTACCCAGCGCAGAGGCGTCCTGAAAGAGAACACTGCCACCTAGTGTTCACGTGATGCAGAGCTGTGCTTCCTGAAGGGACCGGTAGGGACCCTGATCTTAAGTGGGACATTTCAAAAGCAGGACATTCTCAGACTGGAATCACATAATGAGAAAGTTATCCTGAGTCTTCCCTCTCTCAGTCCTTCCTGAAGACAATCACAGTTTGGCAGTGGTTTAGAGAAGCAATATGCTGCTGTGGTTTCAAGTGTGACTTGTAATAACTTTGAACTGAATCCCTCCTCCACCATTATTAGCTGGGTGTTGGTGGGCATCAGCATAACAAGACTCATGATGAAACCTACTTCATGGAGTTAAATAACTTAACATGTGAAAGGTGCTATGAGTGTGACTCTCACGTACCTTGAACACTTGTTCATTTCCTTTGGGAGCAGGCCGTGGGCACAGAACATGAGGCAGGCCGCATTATCTAGCTGGAATATAGTTGCAGTATTTTGTTCTCATCATAGTTTTATGGTGACCTTCAGTTTACAACCACACCTGAGTGAAACAAGCACATTGTTGAGAACTGTTGAGAACTCTCCCTCTCTTCCTCTAGCTTTTCCTCATCCTGTACCCTCTGTCCTATGCAGAGTGGTTCACTTCACTGTAAGAGACAGTTTTCAGGCCCTGGTTCACCACTTCACCCACCACAAAGAAAGCCCTGACATATACAAGCCCAAAGTGAGCTCAGCAAGAGTGTCAAGGAAGTACCCACAAGTCACCTTTGACCTGTGCTGAGGCCTTTTCCATAGTCATCAAATGCTGGAGAGAGGGAGAGAGAGAGAGAGAGAGTCTGACCTGGATTCCAGACCCTCAGTGAACTACAGCTGCTCGGTCTTTTGACCAATATCAAATGCTGGGAGTTATGCCCAACTCCAGCATCATTCAAGGCCTTTCTTTTTTGGTAAAATTTTATTGAATTTTTGTGTATTTCATACAGAACATCCTAATCATCTTTATGTCCCCTTTCCCACTGGCACCCTACCATAGACACACACACACACACACACACACACACACACACACACACACTGGAATTCATGCATTCTGTCATTTATGTTAAGGCCAGGTGTGTCATTAGTGTCCCCAGATGTCTCTCAGTACATAGACGGCAGCTGTTACACAGAAAGCTCTTGCCTGACTCCGGCCTTGCACATCTGCACAGTCTCACATCAAGCCACTTCCAAGTCATTACCCTCCAGTGCTTGACCACCTCTCTGCTCTTCCAACGCTCTGGCCCTTCGGCAGAAGGCTGGCTCCTTCTTAGTCTTCAGTGCCTGGCCTTGAGGTTTTCTCTGTCTACTGTTCAACTAAGCAGGCTCTGATCTTCACCCTAGTCATTTTCTACCCATTTCTTCAACTTCTCCACTTCCCCTGCTGTTTTGTTTTTCCCTCCCTCCCTCCCTCCCTCTCTCTCTCTCTCTTTCTTTCTTTCTTTCTTTCTTTTTCTTTCTTTCTTTCTTTCTTGACAAGGTCTCACTATGCAGCCCCGATTGGCCTGGAGTTCTCTATGTAGACCAGGCTGGCCTCAGACTCACAGAGATCCACCTGCCTCTGCCTCCTGGGTGCTGGGATTAAAGGCATGCATACTACTCACACCCCCAACCCTGCTGTTTTCTTATTAGAATCATTCCTTTCTGATGCCCTCCTGCATATTTATTCATTTCTTGGTCACTGTCCATCTATCTACACTAGATTAAGTTTCAAAAAGGCAAGAAGGCTACTCACCTTGTTCACACCATAACCCCTGGCACCAAGAATGGGGCCAGTTCAAAACAATGGCTCAGAAATGCCTTAAAAGGTGAGCAAGGCAAGGCAGACTCAGTCTTAAGACAAAACTGTCCACTTGCTGGTTCTGGAAAGCATCACCAGTGCCAAGTGCTTACCATGAATGACTTTGGCTCCATCACCAGGGCCCCATACGCATTCAGACTTAGTGCTGAGTAGCACAGATGCCACTCAGTACAATCGGGATCGAGAATTTCATAGCCATGTCCTGTGATGAATAGGAATTTTTCTTTCCAAAGCATCCACTCACTCCCTACTCCAGGTCCTGACTTCTAGGATGGACAGGATGCCCCATTCTCTGTTCGACCAATTAGTCAACAAATGTTTGCTGAGGACTCAGATTAACAGGAGGCAGACTTACCTGAAAAGATCCAGAGCACACAGTGTGGATATAAATGAGACCACCCAACAAGGAAGAAAGCAGCCGCTTTCCAGTTTGCTCACTTCAAGGGAGTCGGCCACCATCACTTGTGTTTCCCTCAAACCCAGAGACAAGAGGGAAAGTGAGAAGCTTCATCATGGAAGAAAGAGAAACAGCACTCTGACTGTAATGTCATGGGGGGGTGCTCAGCAAAAGAAGGCATCTTGTATGATGAGTTTGGGGGAACACGTGTAGCTTTCTGCAGTTGGTCCTTGGTTAGAAGCAGAGACAAAAAATGGGAAAACTTACTGGTCGTGGTGACACACACCATTAATCCCAGCACTCACTCAGGAGGCAGAGGTGGGCGAATCTCTGTGAGTTCAAGGCCACACTGGTCTACATAGTGAGTTCCAGTTCCAGCTGGGGCTACAGGGAGACCCTATCTCAGAAAGACTAAAAATAAAAATGGGAAAACTAACAGTCATTGGCTAAATCCCAGCCACAGTGGGCCAATTTCTGTAGAAGTTATGGATCTGCTGTGATGCTGTAGGGCCATAGTTTGCTTGTCTAATCACTCAGTTGGTGAGTTGCCCTTGAATATGTGAGCCAGGGCCAAGGTGAGGGTAGTCTTTCCAGGGCAACCACAAAGCCTCCATATTCACCCATTCTCTCAGCAAGGACATGGGGAGGAGGGCCATGTGTTTTTGTTTTTGAGACCAAATCTTGCTATGTCCTTGAACTTGAGATCCTCCTGGTTTAGCCTCCCAAGTGCTGGGATTATTGGCATGTACCACCATGCCCAGTTAGCAAGAAGAACTTTCAGAATACCTTGGGGTGGGGTGTCTCTGCATTGGCAGCCCTTGGTATCTGTGTGAAGGGAACCAAGGGCATCCTCCCCTCCCTTCACACTGTCTCCTGACTATGGCTTCTGTCTTGCAGAGGCTGCAGGGAAGTGAGACTCAAGCTTCAGCTTTGGAAGATTCTGAAGACTGGCTTTCAACTCACAGTTTAAAGTTTGAGAAACTTACATTAGCTGACCTGATAAGCCAGGGCACAGCTGTGCTGTAAGTCTGAAATCCTTCCCCTCTGCCCAACCCCCCAAGCTCCCCAAGACTGAGGGACCCTTCCTAAGACCCTGCTCTTTCAGGGAGGAGCATGACAATGTCTTGCGGAAAATGCATTTCTCTACCCAGACTATCCACCACTTTGAATCAAAGCTTTCGAAGTAAGTATGAGTCTCATGTGTTCCCCTCACCCCAAAGCTGAGGCCTTAGTCCCCAACCCGAACACAGCTGTGATCAAACAGCAATTTCAGCGGGAACCGAAGCAGGTCTCGTCCATTTCCACTTTGTCCTTATTTCAGGTTAAAACGTTGGACCAAATTGGCATCTCTCAGCCTTTGAAAATTCATGGTTCCTTTGGATGAATGCCTAAAATCTCCCAGCTAATGGCTGAGTGCTTTCAGTGTCAAATTGGTCCACACCTTTTTAAATTACATCAAACATATATATGTATCCTGCTCCCAAGCCAGTCTTGATAATACAAGTAACATGTAAATATGTACATACACATACTCAAAAACGTATCTTCTCATAATCAAATCGGATGATCTTTACTATTCCATCCCAGCTGTATCAAACTCTGGCCCATAATTGCTGTTTGCTTGAGGTTTCTCAGAAGGTTATGATGATAATTAATAGCTAACATTTATTAATGTTCCAGAAACACTGCTAAGGGCCCCATGCACGATTTTATTTCATCTTTACAAGTACCCAAAACACTGTGTTATTCTCAAACCAGTTAACCAAAAGTCAAACCAGTTAACAAAAATAAGTTGCTAAAAGATCGTTTACACACTGGCCAATTTGTCAAATTTATT